GGGGGTAGGGGGTGGGGGGTGGAGACTGGAAGATTGCTGGGACTTTCTGACCATCAGTCTAGCTCCAGGATCAGTGGGAAGCTTTATTTCCAAAGGAATACGGCAAAGAATGATAGAGCAGAATCAATACCTCGTCTGGCCTCTGCTGGTGTGTACAGGTATGCGCACCTGTGGCACATATATGCACATAAACAAACAAACAAATAAACAAATAAAACGGGCACAATATCAACAGCCTCTGCACCTAAAGTGATTTATAAGAATTAAATGTGACATGGTTAGCATCTAACAAGATTTCAGTAAATACTGACGCAATAAATGCTATGGTGCAGAAGTTATCTCTTACAGATGTACCCTACTGAAACTCTGTTATTTAAATATACCCTCAAACCATGAAATTCTTCATTAAAAACTAGACTCATTCAGACAGGCAAATGCTATAAAATTGAGCTTTTGTGATTACTCCATTTCTTTTTTCCAAGTTTGGAATATAACAAGAAAATGTCCAGTTAAAATGAAGAATATACTTTGAGTTGTATGCCTAACATAAAAACGTCCTCTTTGGAGCTAGTGCAAACCTCTAGGCACCGACTGGCAAGGCTTCTCTTCGTCGTCCCTAAGATCTTTCACTGTACTGTTTTTTCTTGACATGAGTCAACTTCCCAAACACTTGGAAGCAGGAAAGTGTCACTCCAAGGTTTCTCACTGCTTTGCTAATGACCTTGGCAAAGTCAATTAAGCTCCTTCGTTTTCCCCACAGAACGTTAATAATAAATGGGACTTTTCAGCACATGAATCAGACTTTTGGAGCACTTAAAATCCTTCAAAAGGTTAAATGCCACCATACGAACACTTGAAAATAATGAATTTCTCTTTGTCATTCCAAAGAAGGTGAACTAATCACACCTTATTTTACTAAAGCTAGACATTGCACAAAGAGCAAATGCCACTGTAACATCTTCCAAACAGGCACTCAGCAGGGATGTAAGGCAAGTGCTCTCCAGCCCTGTAATCCCCTCCCCTTGCAACCTACCTCTCCCTCTAAGATAAGTAGAGGCTGTTGCAGCTATTTTTAGCTTTAAATCTGTTTTAAATAGGAAAAACATTAATCTTGTGATTACCCTCCTCAAAGAGTTCGGAGTCTGAGCTCACATAGAGGTCACACTGTTCTGAGTGATCTGTAACTGAAGTCTCAAAGAATTCCCAGCTAGTGAGACCAGCAATGGAACTATGTGTTTATTTAAATCCCTCACTGAGGAGCAAGCTGTGAGAAAGATATGTCCTCTAACTTTTGCAAAGGAATCTTTGGCAATAAATCCTGTTAACTCTTTGGAATCAGATAGTGAGCTTGGGATAGATTTCCTAGATATCAAGTTATTGGCCAAGAGCTTTTAGTGGTGAGGTGTCTATGTAGGGAGCACCTCTGGGGATATGTCCACAACTGGAGAATCATGGGAAGTTTGAATGAGTAGCTATAATCCTCCTCCAGACAGTCTTCAGTGTTAGTCAGCTTTCCATTGCTATGATAAATCACCTGAAATGATAAATTTATAAAGAGGAAAGATGTATTTTGACTCATGACCACAGAGGTTTTGGTCCGTGGTTGTTTGGCTGTGTTCCTTTGGACCTGTGGCCATACTCTACAGCATGGTGGGACAAAGGAGGGCTATTTACTGCATGATGGCCAGGAAGCAAAGATAGACAGGAAGAGGTCAGGGTCCCCAAATCCCCTGCAAAAGCGCAGTCTTAAGACTAACTTCCTCCATGTAAGAGCCACCTCTTAAAGGTCCCACCCCATCTGAAAAGCTCTACAAGCTAGTGACCCAATCTTTAGTGCATGGATCTTTTAAGTCCAAACCACACTATCTTCTCAACAGTGCTTTCCTGTTGGCCCTGGCAAACAGATGCGTATTTTCTTGGGTGAGTCTATGTTGTAGAATGTTCCCTGTCTTGGTTTACCTTCTGGGTAATTTAACAGCTGGACATTTCTATGCAGCAAGGACACATTTTTCTTTCAATCATTCATTCATTCATCAGCTAATGGCTTAAGTACTTTATGGGTATCAGGCACTGTAGTGGAGCCTGTGAGGTCCACGGAGATTAGAAACAGACTTCTTTCTCTTAGGGGCATGGCTGTGAGTAGGGGGTAGAAGTTCAGCTGCCAACTATTTGCTATTGATAGCTTTTGAAGACGCCAATGGGTTCATGAAATTTTGTCTGAGATGCCTTTAAATTGTCTTGTATTTTAATTTACCTTCTAGACACAAAATTTCTCTTTATTAGTTTTTCAGTAGGGATAATTTCTTTTTTTAAATTTAATTTATTTTATGTGTATGCGTATGTTGTCTGTATGTAGGTAAGCGCACCCATTTTGTGCAATGCCTGTGGAGATCAAAAGAGGCTGTCAAATCCCCTGGGACTGGAGTTACAGACAGTTATTAGCTGCCATGTGGGTTCTGGGATTCGAACCCGGGTCTTCTGCAAGAACAACCAGTGTTCTTAATCGCTGAGCCATCTCTCCAGCCCCAGTAAGGATAATTTCAAATAAATGTGATTGAAATATAAATGTTTTGAATGAAGCCTTCAGGTCTCAGAACTACCCCAAGTTTTGTGTCTTGAAATGTTTTCAGATCAAATTAAAGAAAGTGAATGGTTTTAAACCAAATTAAGAGCCATAATCTCTAGGGAAAGAAATTAAATGAGTATAATGGTGAGCAGAAAGTATCATGGTTATTCTGACCTCACTTTCCTCAGGAGGAACCAGTATTAACTAGATGATAGAAAAGGGGGACTGGCATTCAGAGCTACTGGTCTACCAACAAGACCTGTAGGTTACAGAGAGGTTAGGAACTATTTGCAACCAACTTCCATTACTTTTTACTCCCTATCTAGCACACTGCCTTATGAAGTATCGAGTATTCAGTAGTTGTTGCATAACACAGAAGTGAACTGACTTAAGTCACGTGTCTAAATATCTACTGATCCCCATGGCTTCCAAACACTGGCTGTGTGAACATCCAGGTTATGACTAAAGAAGGAAAGCCCATTACTATCGTTTTCATCTTTCTCTAATTAAAAATAATTGTGTGTGTGTGTGTGTGTGTGTGTGTGTGTGTGTGTCCTACTCTCTGACATCTCCAACTTATTCCTCAAGATAGGGTCTGTCACTGGAACAAGAGCTAGGCTGGCTGCCAGCAAGCCCCAGCAATCCTCCTGTCCTCACTACTCAGCGCTGGGGTTACAAATGTGTTACAATTGTGTCTGGCTTCTTACCTGAGTGCTGTGTTTGAGCTCTGGACCTCATGATTGAGCTGCAAACACTCTTATCCACTGAGCCATCTCCCAAGACCCCTCTTAAGGTCCTTTTTTTCTTTCACCTATCTTGTCTTATTGAAAAGATTGCTAGTGGCTTTCTGTAAGAGAACCATCTATTTTTCTGCACAGGAATTTTCTTTACATTAACTTTCATTGAGGATTCAGTATAGCTTTTTAACCTTTCTTTGAGACGTATATAAACATATCTAAAAATAGAAATATACTGATTTTTTTGTCCTTTTTAACTTAATCCCACATGCCAGAGATACGTGAAATTCCTGCTTTTAAAGAGTCACACCCTTCTCTCTCTTCCACTTTGGTCTGAAATGGAATTTGGTATAATAAACATTTCCTTAATAAGCATACCCAAACAGAAGTCTTGGAATGATGGATTGTTATACATTTAAACATCTACCGACACAAACTAACCAGCTCTGTGCTCAGCTTCACACACTAGCTCGCTGCGGCCTGAGCCCTTCTGTACTCAACTGCATGGTCACTTACGCTTTAAAGAGACACATGGATTCCCAAAGTTAATCCCTTAATTCCTAGTAAGCTGGT